TTTTTTATTATTATTATTGTGAATCTTTGTTGAAAGTGTTTCTCTTAAACTGTTGCCAAGACTCGCTTGTCTGTTAGCATTCCGTGTTTCCGCTTTAGCTGGGTGTGACAATATTTGGCTCTACAAATGCAAAACATTGCGAAAAATTCTCAGAGTTGATGAAAAGCAAATTTGAGATGAGTATGATGGGAGAACTCAGTTTCTTCCTTGGTCTTCAAATAAAACAAGTTCCAGACGGAATTTTTATAAACCACTCCAAATATGTGACTGATCTTTTGAAAAAATACTCTCTCTCAAATTCATCATCGATGAGAACTCCCATGGCTACAGGAGTTAAGTTATTTGTTGATCCATCAGGCAAATATGTAGATGTCACAACCTATAGAGGCATGATTGGATCACTCCTGTACCTAACCGCTAGTAGACCTGATATTATGTTTGCCACATGTCTTTGTGCAAGATATCAAGCAAATCCCAAAGAATCGCATCATTTTGCAGTCCAGAGGATCTTTAGATACCTTAAGGGAACTCCTTCATTGGGTCTCTGGTATCCAAAGAACTCTGTCTTCGATCTAATAGCCTACACAGATGCAGATCATGCAGGATGCAAGCTTGACAGAAAGAGTACGTCTGGAAGCTGTCAACTCTTGGGGGACAAGCTAGTAAGTTGGACCTCCAGAAAATAAAATTGTGTATCAACATCTACAGTAGAAGCAGAATATGTTGCTGCTGCTAGTTGTTGTTCACAAGTTCTCTGGATGAAGCCTCAGCTTAAGGACTATGGCTTTAATTTTGACAAAGTCCCAATCCTCTGTGACTCCAAGAGTGCCATAGCAATCTCTGCAAACCCAGTACAGCATTCCAAGACCAAGCACATCGATGTAAGGTACAATTTTTTTGAAAGATAATGTTGAAAAAGGTAACAAAGAAATGTACTTTGTTCTAAAGACCAGAGCCTCTGGATTCAAAGTCTTTCCAACCAGAGCCCCTCTGGTCTCAAAGACTCATTCCTTTCCATACTTAACCATATTTCATTTTTTTTCTCTCATCCTTCACAACCAGAGCCTCTGGTTCTAAAGACTAGAGCCTCTGGATTCAAAGTCTTTGCAACCAGAGCCCTCTGGTCTCAAAGACTCATTGCTCTTCATACTTAGCCATATTTCATATTATTTTTCTTCATCATTCACAACTAGAGCCTCTGGTTCTAAAGACCAGAGCCTCTGGATTCAACGTCTTTGCAACCAGAGCCCCTCTGGTCTCAAAGACATTATTTTTTCATACTTAACAATTTTTTTCATTGAATCTCATCATTCTTCACAACCAGAGCCTCTGATTCTGAAGACCAGAGCCTCTAGATTTCAAATCCTTTGCAACCAGAGCCCCTCTAGTCTCAAGATCCATTAATTTTCTTATCCATTCTCATACTTGACCATATTTCATTCTTTTTCATCGCTTTTCACAACCAGTGCCTCTGGTTGTATAGACCAGAGCCTCTGGTTGTATAGACCAGAGCCTCTGGTCATCCAAAATCTAAACTCCTTATTGTTTCTAGGGGGAGTTTTTACATTTCATTTCATATCTCCATGCATCCTTTGAGGGGGAGCAAAAGTTTACATTTGTAAACTTGCATTTTCCATCTAGAGCCTCTGTTTCTACTATCCAGAGCCTCTGGTCCCATAAAATGCTACATATGATTATAATACCAGACCTCCTTTGGTCTTATAAAATGGATTGACATACTTAACCGAAGCCTTTGGTTTGTTAACCAAAGCCTCCACATCATGTCAATCCTACATCACTACTTGTCTTCATCGACATTTCAACCAGAACTCCTCTGGTTCC